CATAAAAATATGACATATTTTGTTTATTTTATGCAACAAAAATGCATCTGACAAAAGTAAACAGACATTTTATGTATTATGTTTAGCATACTGTGTGTTCATGTGAATATTTACTCTATATCTAAATAATTAGCCAACGTTGGGTCAAATTTGGGCAAACTCAACATTGAATTTTTTATTATTATTATTAAATTTCAGTGACAATATTTAAAGTAAATATTTGTTTTTTCCATATTTGACCCAATGTTGAGTTATGACAACCCAGCAATTTTAAGGTCTATAAAGATCTGAAAGCATTTTTATTCACAAATTTAATTTAAAAATATATATTTTAGGACTTACTTCGGGAAAACAACATGAATCAGGGTCATTTCACCAGATATTGAATTATCAACTCAATTAAAAGTTCTAAAAAGAAATCTCAGCATAAAAATATGACATCTATATGACTATCTATCTATCTAACGTTATCTATCTATCTATCTATCTATCTATCTATCTATCTATCTATCTATCTATCTATCTATCTATCTATATCTATTTATCTATCTATCTATCTATCTATCTATCTATCTATCTATCTATATCTATTTATCTATCTATCTATCTATCTATCTATCTATCTATCTATCTATCTATCTACATATCTTCAATTTGTTCGCAAACAAGAAGGTAAGTAAGCAAATATACTGACATGACAACAACAAAGGCCATAGTAAATGAGATTGATTATCAATTAAAGACGAAGGTCGACTCACCTTTCTTGGGGGAGGCTGCATGTCTGTCTAGACCTGAATATACAGGACATAAATAAACTCCTTCCAATTCACTCGCGAAACCCAGACACATCTACGAGACGGAGAAACGCAGGGAATAATGAGTTATATAAATATAAGCATTGAATGAAAATCGCCAAAATACTTCCAGAGGCTCCGTATATCCGCACACATACAAACTCGACTGAAAAGTGAAGCGAACTTTAGTCAGTGACAGAAATGAAGAACAGCGCCCTCCAGCGGCTCAATCAGGTAAACAGTCAAATGTGCGGTGTTTTTATTTTGCTTTTTTATTCCAATTTAACAAGGTAATTGACTTTTGTTTACAGTAAAGCATAATACAATAAAATAATAATAATAATAATAATAATAATAATAATGCCTTCTCGTTGCCTTCGTGTAAACAGTGCATTTATAAATCTGCTTGTTTCCGTTGAGACTGACTGTTTAGGCCTACAGACTAGCTTTCAGGATTTGTGTTTGCTTGTGATTATGGGAAATTGGATTCACAGGTCTACTCTTTATCACTTATTCTTTACATAATGCAGTGATGATGATAAACACATTCTATCTATATTGTCACTGTGTTTATTGATACCATCTTCATCCTAATGAGATGGAATGACCGAGAAAACAGGCCTGTGGCATGTGTTGTTGTGAGATGAGGCCATCTAGTGGTGTGAGTAAGTAAAGATATGGGGAGCTCGTCAAAAGTTAAACATACATATTCATTATTATTCCGATAGTATTTCAATTGACATGCATAATAATAATAATAATAATAATAATAATAATAATAATAATAATAATAATAATAATATAATAACAATAGAAAATATAATAATAAATACTTTAACTAACAATTATTACTAGCAAAAATACTTAATAAACATTATTTATAATATTTTAAAAAAACAGTAAATGACAATGGATTAAATAAATAAATAAATATAAATAAACATTTAAATTAAATTATGAAACTATTATTAATATGAATCAAATATTATTAATAATAAATTATCATTAATAATAAAAATAGTAAATAATCATTATTCCTGTGGTATTTTACTTTATATGTATATTATTAATACAAATAATAATAATAGAAAATATACTACTACTAATAATAATAATAATAATAATAATAATACTGGAAAATAAATTAATAATAAATACTTTTAACTAACAATTATTACTAGCAAAATACTTAATAAACATGATTTATTATCATTTAAATAACAGTAAATGACCATGCATTAAATAAATACAAATATAAATAAAATACGTAATTAATTAATAATAATGATTTTATTATTATTAATATTAATAATAATAATAATTATTATTATTATTATTGTTATTGTTATTATTATTATTATTATTACCATTTTTATATCTGTTGCTTCTGCTGTATTTACGGATAATAAATAATATTATGCAAAATAATATTTTATTTATGTATTGGTTATAGTAACATTAATAGTTATTATTATTATTAGTAGCAGTAGGATTATAAATAATTACAAATACATTTATGAATGGCCATGGATTGCAATAAATACATTTATAAGTGTACAATTGAACTAAATGTGTTATTATTATTTTTTATTATTATTATAGCTGTTGCTGCTGCTATATTTCAGTATCACAAATAACATTATATGAAATTAGCATTCTATGTGTATTGATTTTACCAACGTTGATTATAAATGATCAATATTAATAACAGTAGTTGATATTAATATAGATAAAATACATTAAAATTACCATGCATTGCAACAAGTACATTTCTAAATATACTATGGGGCTAAATGTTATCATTAATTATTATTATTATTATTATTGCTATTGTTAATAATAATAATAATAATAATAATAATAAGTCATTATTCTTTTTTAACAATAGCAATAATAATAATAATAATAATAATAATAATAATAATAATAATAATAATAATAAGTCATTATTCTTTTTTAACAATAGCAATAATAATAATAATAATAATAATTACATTATTATATTAGAATTACTTTTATTAATAATAAAAAATAACAATAATAATAATAAAAAAATATCATTTTAAAATAATAAGTAAACATTATATATGATGATTTAAATATACTTTTAATAATCAGGCTTAGCAAAAACACACATTTCTAAAACTATGACACTTAATACACCATAATAATGATGCTTAATATATTACAAACAAAAGTTAACACACTCAGGCCCTTTGACTGTGAAAACCAGTCAAATTAACATGATCTATAGCGCTTAAGATTAAGGGCAATTCCTGGGTTATAAAACTAGTGCCGTCATGCAGTGATGACTAAGCATGACACGTTTCAGTGATAAATGTGTTTATAGGTCGGTTACTTCAATGGTTTAAAAATAGCTAGCTTGATATAACTACTCCAGTTATTTAACATGTGCTAAATTTAGCCAAAGGGGAGATTAAAGATTAGCATGTGACCCTGATTATATACCAACAAACTTTTTTTAAATCAACAGAATGACTTAGACTCTCTTTTGTTAGGCCATCCAATAGAATTAGTTTACGATGGCATTAAATAATAGCAAAAAGTCGATTTATTATGGTTAGGTCAGTCTGTATATGGAGATTAAGATTAAGTGCGAGCATGCATACTCATCATTCAATGTGAACAAGTAGACTTAATGCACAAAAATACACACAAGCATGAAGTTAAACACACAAAAGGGGAGCGAATATTCCACAGACAACTAGTAGAAACTCAGACTGTGCTTTAATCTGAGATTACTGGTCACTTTGGCCTGTTTAAGGGATTAAAGGAAGAGTCATCAAACTATTCCAGCTCTACAAAAGCTGAGTGAAGGCTGAGACGACTAACAGTCATCGCCGAGTTACAAACAAAACACTTATCAGACCTGCAGCACAACACTGGGAATATTGCTTTTTTTTTGTTGTGGTGTCTGACTGGCCAGGGCTCATGATGGCTCTGCTCAAATCCGGCTGGCTCTGGAGACAGTGTAAGTGGAAGATTTGTTTATTAATGCTTATGTGAAGAGTTTCGTAATCTTATTAAGGATAGCAGAGGAATGGAAACACTTTAAGTATACAGCAGAAAATGCTGTAAAATTTACAGTATTACTGGCAATTTCGGTTGCCAGTAATACTGTCAAATTTACAAGCGCACTGTAAATTAATAATTAATAAACAGCACAGTTTTAATTGTTCATTTAAAGTGAAGTTATAAATTACACAGTATTACTGGCAACAAAAATTGCCTGTTTATAAGTAGAACATGTTGCTGGATAAACATCAATGTTGATCCTGGAACAACATTTCAATCAGTCAATCAGAATTTAGGGATACATTTACAGTTTATGTTAAGCTTAGGCTAATAGTTAGAGTTACGTGCATCTATGAGGATTTGTAAATATTATTACCCTCTAATTTTGGGAATAATTTACAGTTAGGGTTGGGTTTAGGGGCAAAGATTATTATGTTTCAGGACCAACATAGATGTTAATGTAGGATCGCGTCCTAGTTGGGTTAGACCACCCAATAAAGTACATATTCTGCATGATCATATCTCTAATCCAATCCAAACCCAACCGATAGCATTATAACTATAAATAAGCAGCAAATGAGGAGTTCACTAAGCTAAAAGCCATCTTTAATGGTTTGATAATAGCGAGAATTGTACCTTAAAATAAAGTGTGACCATGGGAGTTTCATTTTTAGGGACACAAATTAAGGAAGAAGCAATCCTAATGTTTATATTTATATTAAAATATAGATGGTCAAAAGCACAAATGCTGTTTTAGAAGTGTCTGGCTGCAAATTCTGTGAAATTTAAATGGTCTAAATTGGAAAAATCCTATATATACACACACACACTTAAATACATTAATTTAAAAAAGGACGAGGAGTACCTTTCCAGAAGGTCTGTTATGAAACTTCAGGCCTGACACTGTTAGCAATAATCCTCTTACGGTCAGTGTTACAGTGCACATTAGCTGCTAGCTGAATGTCCAGTTTGTTGTTGTGTGCTCGCTATAATAAAACACACGCAACTGACCAAGGGAGAATATCAAAATGTAATTTAAAAATGTAAAATGATTCCCACCAAAAAATAATGTCATGAAAATGTACTTTAGAATGTTCGTAATTCTGAGAATTAAGAATCAATGTGTTTACAGTCAATGGAGTGCACTCTAAATGTATTTACATGTGGTATAAAACTATTTTTATATTTTAACTATATTATCAATAAGTTAAATGGATAGCTCACCCAAAAATGGAAAATTATTTAATACATATCCACTCAGTAGTTTCGGATTTATATGAGTAGCTTTTTTCTGTTGAACCGAAAAGTAGATATTTGAAAGAATGTTGGTAACTGGTAGCCATTGACATCCATAAAATATATGGAAGAAACATATGGAAGCTTCCAACATTTTCCATAGTATCTTCCTTTGTATTCAAAAGAGAAAGAAACTGAAATGGATTTGGAAAAAGTGGAAGATGAGTAAGTAATGACGGAATTGAAATTTTTGGGTGAACTGTCCCATTTTGTTAGCAAATGTAGTATTAAAATAACTCAAAACAAATTCCAAGAACAAAGTTCTTAATTCTGAATTTTCATCCAAACTCTAAAAAAACAAAACTCAGCATTGCAAAATATAACGTTTAAATCCCCTTTTTTTTCTTGTGTATAAAAATAGGCAAGGAATGTTCTATGGAAACATTATAACCTCGACAAAATCAGGGGACAAACAGAATTCACTTACAAATGTAATAATGTTGAAAATAATGTTCAATTTCTTATTCAGACTTATCTTTTCACTTCATAACAAACACCTTGATGGTATCAGGAGCCACGGGTTTAACTTTAGTTTTGCTTATATATGTTTGCTTCTCTTTAAAGTGCCTGTAAAGGTTGATTTATTTATTATCAAGAACCACAGTTTTATCTAAAAAAAAAAAAAAAATCTTCTTTAATGTTCTGCTGAAGAAAAAAGTCACTATATTCTGAATTGGCTTGAGTAAATTTACAGCAGATTTTTTGAGGGTACGCTAAATTGGCCCTAGTTTATGTGTGTGAACACAAGAGTGTATAGGTGTTTCCCAGTGATGGGTTGCGCCTGGAAGGGCATCCGCTGCATAAAAATTTATGCTGGATAAGTTGGCGGTTCATTCCTCTGTGTTGAC